GAAGCCCGAAATTTAAACTCTGGGTTCCACAGGAACCCCGAGTAATTAGGCTAATTAGTGTGAAATCCTTTTCTATTGTTTAATTAGTGCAATGCAAATGTTTCATGGATATATTGAATACAATTGACTGGATTTTCCAACTGATGCTGTCCACTTGCAAGTATGCCCGCAAATTATAGAGTATCATCACAGTGTTTTGCATTGCAGAAATTGGATTTAAGAAAGCTGTTCGTTATTCAGTAGAACTTTCAGGCTTCGAGAGATCGGCAAGTGGAGATGATTCGACTGTAAAAGCATATTGACCTTAAAAAAAACATTGAAACTCTATTGTCCCCTAACAATAGAACAATAACAATTAATCCGCAATACTCCATTTCGAACTCAAAGCGAATAAATAATATTTGGAAAGCAGATTCTCTTACGCAAAGACCTTACAAACACACTAAGGAAAGCAAGAGAATCTGCTGTCAACTAAAGCAGCGGTTGTTCGCTTTGAGYATTGGTTAAAGCACGTTCTCGGRTGAAAACACCTGCSCTGTMTTACATTGAAAATGATTGAAAAACCTCTTTTAAASAATGAAYGTTTAACTGATTAATTGTCAAATATGTGAGAGCTGATACCGACTAGCATTTGAGTTRATTTGCGTTGACAAGTCTATTCCATGGTACAACGATATTTACAAGGTAAATATATTTTTGYATTGGATTGATATTTGTTTTGTTCCTTGATGATTTTTCATCTCAAGTAAATTTTGTAAAACTATGATATTTAGTACCTCTGACCTTTCAAAACTAAGTTTGACGACACAGTTTCACTTTAGTTATAATATACCAACTCCTCGATATTGTTAAAGCAATGGCATATCAAAGTTATTCCCTGTAAACTTTCTCTAATTTTGCGCCCAGACTGCATTTAAAAGAACAATTAATCTTTTTTAACACATTTATTATTCTCTCGTTCGTAGTAATTCCTTTAATGCCGCTTTTTTACGATATTTTATGTATCATCTCAGCACATACAGAATCACTAGCGCCCGCTTATTTTCTCTTGCGATTGTGTAGAGAAGATAGCTGTAAAGAATACAATTTAATTGTCTCAACTTATTTGAGTAAAAAAAGGAACCATTTTTTTGTGTGTAAATTTTATTTCATTTGTTTAGACTTACTTGTTGATATTACAATGGAACGAAGGAGAATCATTTGAAGGTGTTTGAATATTCGCCTGTGTTTGGGCCATATTCATATTCAAAGCCTCCCGAGGCGTCTTCAGATCCCGGCAAACAGCAAAATAATAAGAAATGAAATCGCTCCATCTTTCATCGTGTTTTGACCCCTTTGAAAATATAGACACATTTATATATCAAAATCTAGCAAAGGTTCAAATCGGGTGCGATTTGTACTCGGGCATTGTGGGGCCCCTGTTTACCTGAACTTCTCTTATTTTCTATACTTAGTTCAAAATAAATACGATCTTTAATATTACTTTTTATAAATCCGACGGTAATAATCGATATTTTAGAGCCTTTGAATTTTGAATACATGATCAAAAATGTTCAAATAATCGGGTTCTATTTATAGTCGGGCATTGTTGGGGGGCATGATCACCTGAACTTGATAAAAGCTTTTGTATGCAATGACTTTGAATTGTGCATTATCGATG